TTTGTTTGACAGAGAGAGGGAGAGAGAGAACACAAGCAGGGGGAGTGGCAGGCAGAGGGAGAGAGAGAAGCAGGCTCCCCGCTGAGCAAGGAGCCCAGTGAGGGGCTTGATCCCAGGACCCTGGGATCGATCATGACCTGAGCCAAAGGCAGACACTTAACTGATTGAGCCAACCAGGTGCCCCTAAAGAGTCAGTAATCTTTTAAAGAGACTTAAATAATAAGAGAAAAGTCTTTTATGTTTACTGACATAGTTGCCATCTCTGGCACTCTTTATTCTTTTGTGTTGATTCAAATTTCTATCTACCTGAAACTTCCTTTAACCTTTCTTATACTATATATCTACTGGTAATGAATCCTTTCATTTTCTCTACATCTGGAAAGAAATCAGTGAATTTTTCTTTTAGATTTCATACTTTTGATCTCTAGAAGTTGCATTTGGTTATTTTTTCTGTTGCCTGTTTCTCTATTCCTTATGTTCATTTTGCTTTAATTCCTTCAGCATATTTGTAATAGCTCTTCTAACATTCCTATCTTTTTGTTGTATTATCTCTATCACTTGTATGTATCTATTGACTGATTTTTTTCTCCTGGTTATGGATAGTGTGAATTTTACATGGATAAATGCTGGGGTGTTTTATTATTATTATTATTATTCCTTTAAAAAGGAATACAGGTACTTATACAGGTACTTAAATTACTGGATTAGTTTGATGTTTTCAAGGCTTGTTTTTAAGCTTTCTTTTGGTAGTTTTAGAATAGGCTTTATTCTAAGGCTAGGTTAGCTTTGCTACTAAGGCATGATCCTTCTGATGTTGCCTCTGAATTCCTCTGGTGTTCAACGAAGATTAACTCTAGTTGGCGAGAACTCCTATCTCCAAGTTTTGTGTGAGCTCTGGTAGCTGCTCAGTTTACAGCTCCCCAGATATTCTTTGCCTGGTCTCCTGTAGTTTTACCCTATTCATATATGATTTAGCATTTAGCAATCGAATCAAGAAGATACCTATGCAGATTTCTCGACCTCTTTTCCATGCATCTCCCTCCTCTCTGGCACTCTGCCCACAAATTCTGCCACCTCAGCCTTCCTTAACTCTGATCTCTGTTTATTCAACTCAGCAATACTATCAAGTTCTGATTTTGATCACCTGTCTGTTTTGTAGTCTGGAAAGTGCCTCTAGGTGGATAGCTGAGACAATCATAGGGATCACCTTAATTGTTTCCCTTTTCTCAGGGACCACAGTGTTGCACTGGCTGTTGTATAATTTCCAAAAACAGTTCTTTCATTCACTTTATCTAGTTTTCCAATTGTTTATGGCAGTAGAGTAATTCGGTTCTGATTATTTTATCAAGGCTATAGAAGCAGAAATTGATTTCATTCAATTTTAAAATCAGCAATTCACAGCAATCTTTATTTTGGTTTTACAGGGCAAAGAAAGAGATTGAATACCAGGAACTGATGTTTCTTTTAACTGGAGGAGTAAGTCTTAAGAGTGCTGAGAAAAATCCTGATCCGACTTGGCTACAGGATAAAAGCTGGGAGGAAATTTGCCGTGCAAGTGAATTTCCTGCCTTCAAAGAACTCAGGTAATTATTTAAACTTGATGACAGCATTGAATAAGGATAGATAAATTTGTAATCTCCTTGTTTAACAATCTCTTTTTAAATTATTTTCCAATGAAGTAATAACTATTAAGCTTTTTTTCCATTAGGAAGCATTTTTGTGAACATATAACTGAATGGCGGGAAATTTATGACAGTAAAGAGCCACACAATGCTAAATTTCCAGTACCAATGGATGAAAAACTAAATGAACTACAGAAAATAATAATTCTTCGGTGCCTAAGACCTGATAAGGTAAAAAGACAAATGTGTTCTACTTGGAATCCAGTTAATTTGCCATTTAAGAATAAGTCCTGGGAATTAAAGGCACAACGTAAGGAATACAGTCAACGATATTGTGAAAGCAGTGTAATGGGACAGATGGTAGCTACACTTGTGGCGAATAGAGCATGATGTAAAAACGTATTAAATCTAGGTTGTACACCTGACACTAATGTAACAACGTGTGTCAACTATACTCAAATTTTTAAAAAAAATAAGTTGTGTTAGGTTTAAAGTTACTGTTATTTGGTTCTTTGATCCTCATTCTAGATACTCAAACAGGTTCATTGAGCTCCTTGGATTTGTGGGTTTATAGTTCTCCTCAACTTGAGAAAAATTTTGGCCATTATTTCTTCAAATACTTTTTTATAAGATTTTATTTATTTATTTGAGTTGGAGAGGGGCAGCCAGAGAGGGAGAGTCCATGCAGACTCCATGATGCAGGGCTCGAACTCATGACCTTGAGATCATGACCTGAGCCAGAACCAAGAATCTGAGGCTTAACCAACAGAGCCACAGAGGCGCCCCTTCTTCAAATATTTTTTGCCACTCCACCCTATGAGTCCAAGTAAATATACATTAGACTGCTTGGTATTATACCATAGATGATTGCTCTGTTAATTATTTTTAAATTTTTTGTATCACTGTGCTTCAGTTTGTATAGTTTCTACTGCTATCTTTAAGTTTACTGATTTCTTCTTTTATAGTGTCTAATCTGCTATTGTTCCTATCCAATTAATTTTTTTGTTTCAGGGGCTCCTGGGTGGCTCAGTTGGTTCAGCGTCCGACTCTTGGTTTTGGCTCAGATCATGGTCTCAGGGTCGTGGGATCGAGCCCTGCTTTGGACACCTCATTCAGTGTGGAGTCTGCTTGAGATTCTTTCTCTCCCTCTGCCTTTTCCCCCTGTTTGTACACACTCAGGCACACTCTCCCTCTCTCACAAATAAATTAAAAAATCTTAATAAAAAAAAGAAAAAGAATTTCCTTGTTTCAGCTATTATATATTTCACTATTAGAAAGTTCACTTGGGGGGCACTGGGTGGCTCAGTTGGTTAAGTGTCTGTCTTCAGCTCAGGTCATGATCCCAGTGTCCTTGGATCGAGTCCCACATTGGGCTCCCTGCTCAACAGGGAGCCAGCTTCTCCCTCTCCCTCTGCCTGCCACTCCACCTACTTGTGCTCTCTCTCTCTGTCAAATAAACAAATAAAATCTTTCTTAAAACAGTTCATTTGGTTTTTTATATGTTAGATTTCTTTTTTCATTCTGTTCATGTTTTCTTTAAATACTTGAACACAGTTATAACAACTGTTTTTAAACTTTGACTGCTAATTCCATCATTTCTGGATCTGTTTCTATTGACTGATTTTACTCTTGGTTATAGATTATATTTTCTTGCTTTTTGGCCCACCCAGTAATGTTTGACTGGGTGCCAAACGTTGTTGATAATTTGATTTTGTTACGTTCCTTTAAAGGTTGTAGAGTTTTATTCTGCTAGTTCAAGGGTCAGCAAACAACACTTGTGGGCCAAATCCAGCCCATGACTTATTTTTGTCCAGCCCATGGGAGATGATGATGGTGTTTATATTTTAAAGAGTTGTTTTTAAAAAGAAGGAAAAAAATATGCAGCAGAAATTGTATGTGGCCCACAACACCTAAAGTTTTTACTATCTAGCCCTCTGTAGAAAAAGGTTACCAATCCCTTTGACTACATAGTTACATTACTTAATTTCAGATTGTTCCTTTCAAAGATTATTTTAATATTTGTTAGCACAAATGTAGAAAAGCCTTTACTCAATGGATAGTTTAGCTCCACTACTAAAGTGTGACCTTTCTGGGAACTTTACTGAATGCCCCAAGTGATCACCAAGGGCTCTCCACTGTGGCTGTTGGGAAGTTGAATAATTCCCAGCCTGGCATGAACTCTGGTAGCTCTGTAGATCCCCAGTTCAGAGCTCTCCAGTCACTCCTTGCTTAGTCTATGCATGCACACCTTTGTATTCAGCAAAGATTCAAGGGTACTGTTATGCAGGTTTCTTTATTTTTTCTGGGTAGTTCCCCTCTAATTTGAACTCTGTAACTTCTAGTGGCCTCCCTCCTTGAACTCTGATTTCTGTCTTCCCAAGTCAGCAACACTGTGTTGCTCTGTTTTCAATCACTTTTCCTATTCCACAGGCTGAAATGTACCTCCCAGAAGAAAGCTAAAGGGATAATAGATCTCACCTTGTGAGTTTCCTCTTTCATAGAGATCAAAGTCTCGTACTACCTGTTGTCTGAATTGCCCAGTGTTTGAAAATGGTTGTTTTTTAAATTTTGTCCATTTTTAGTTGTTTATGTGAGAGTGTAAATCTGGGCCCTGTTAGCAGAAGGGGCCATACTGGCTGGAAGTAAAAGATGGTAGAAAATCTTATACATGTCACAATTTTATCAGTTTAAACATGCACAAAAAATCCTTCTTTTTTTTCTTCCAAGTTTTTATTTAAATTCCAGTTAGTTAACATACACTATAATATTAGTTTCAGGTGTAGAATTTAGTGATTCACGCTTACATACTACACCCAGTGCTCATCACAAGTGCCCTCCTTAATCCCCATCACCTATTTAACCCATTCCCCCACCCACCTCCCCTCCAGTAACCCTCAGTTCTCTATATTTAAGAGTCTGTTCCGTGGTTTGCATCTCTTTTCCCCCCCTGTGTTCATCTGTCTTGTTTCTTAAATTCCACATATGAGCAAAATCATATGGTATTTGTCTTTCTCTGACTGACTTATTTCCCTTAGCATAATACTCTCCAGCACCATCCATGTCATGCAAATGACATTCTTTTTTATGGCTGACTAATATTCCATTGTATATACATACTACATCTTCTATATCCATTCATTAGATGCTGGACAATTTGGGCTCTTTCCATAATTTGACTATTGTTAATAATGCTGCTATAAACATTGAGGTGCATGTATGCCTTTGAATCAGTATTTTTGTATCCTTTGGGTAAATACCTAGGAGTGCCATTGCTGGATCATAGGGTAGTTCTATTTTTAACTTTTTGAGGAACCTCCATACTGTTTTCCAGAGTGAACTTATAAAATCAACACCCTTGGGGTGCCTGGGTGGCTCAGTTGGTTAGGTGTCTGCCTTCGGTTTGGATCATTATCCTAGGGTCCTGGGATTGAGCCCCACATCAGGCTCCCTGCTCAGCGGGGGCCTGCTTCTCCTTGTCCTCCCCACTTGTGCTCTCTTTTGCTATCTCTGTCACTATCTGTGTCTCTCTCTCAAATACATAAATAAAATCTTAAAAAAATAATAAAATAAAACTCAACACCCAAAAAACAAATAATCCAATTAAAAAGTAGAAGGCATGAATAGACATTTTTCCAAAGAAGACATACAGATGGCCAACAGACACAAAAATCTTTCTATAGGTGAAATAAACAGGCTGATACTGATTTTCACACATTCAAGAAAGGTGATTATGGTGTTACAAAAGAAAAAAAAATTTTTGATAGCTAATGCTTATTTTATCATAATAAATATTTAATCTTTTAACCTCCTATTAACAAGAATAATATTATTCTAGTTTCTGGGCTGATTAATTTTCACCTGAATATACCTTTCTTTTTCATTAAATGCATATGACAAGTTAGATCCTGCTTCATCTCATTAGGAGATGAATTTCCAATTATATTTTTTATTTAATTTCAATTAGCCAACATAGTTTTGATGTAGTGTTCAATGATTCATTAGTTGCATATAACACCCAGTGCTCATCACATCACGTGCCTTCCTAATGCCCAACACCCAGTTACCCAAAAGAAAAAATTTTAAACAGAAAACCAAAAACTATGTTCATACATGTAGTTCAAACTTTGAGAAAGTAACTTCATCTTTCTGAGCTCCATGTATAAAATGAAGGTGGTGAAAGTAATTGCAATGGTCATTTCTTCTTTCCTTTTTTGTTTTTCTTTTTTTAACATTTTATGTTTTTAGTAAAGCATCACAAGGAGCATCATCTAATGCTTCACTTAGCCTCTGAGTAGATTCAAACAGAGGTTTACATAATTATTAGACTCCTGAGTACTTCTTCTTAACTCTCTAAGACCTTCGTGCATTGTTAAAACTTACCTCATTCTTTCCTACCTGACAGTTGTGTGTATATATATATGTTTTTTTCACCAGACAGTAGATCACTTTAAAGCCAAAACAATGCTGTGTTCATTATTTTATCACCAATAGCCTCCCTTGTTCGTTGTAAACTTAGGAATGATTAGCTCTGCATCTGGGAAATACTTGCCTAATTTGCACTCCACAGAATGGCTCTCTGATAGCCAATGGAAATGTTGTTTCAGTGCCAAGTATGGAGTTATTGCCTAGTCTGCCATGCTTGGGAGCCTGTGCTTAAACATTACAGCACTTACCACACTGGAATATGAAATAATTGTCTGCTTGTTTGTTAGCATCGCCCACTACACTCTGAGCTTCTGGAGGTCAGAACCCATGCCTTATTTTGCTCAATATCTCCAGGACTTAAAGCAGTGCCTGTAAGATAGTAGGACATCTCAGTAAATGTCTGTGAATTGAGTTGAATTGAATTAAACTAAGTTCAACTAAAGCCTGTGTTTGTCAGGATTCTCCAGAGAAACAGAACCAATAGGATAGTTAAGACAGAGATTTACAGGAATTGGCTCACATGATTGTGGAGGCTGGCAAGTCCAAAATCTGCAGGCTGGAGACCCAGGGAAGAGGCCATATTGCAGGTCAAGTCCAAAGTCAGTGTGCTGGCAAAATTCCCTCTTCCTCAGTGGAGGTCTGTCTTTTTTTTTCTCTTAAGGCCTTCAACTGATTGAATGAGGCCACTCACATTATAGAGAGTAATACACTTAACGTCTACTGATTTAAACATTAATCTCATCTTTAAAATATCTTCCTAGCAACATCCAGACTAGTATTTGACCAAATATCTGGGTACTCTGTTCTAGCAAAGCTGACACCTAAAATTAACCGTCACAAAACTTATCTCCAGGTCCATTCAAGTCTCCATAATTTCTTCTCTAGAGTGTCTTACGTGAAGGATCAAAATCTTATAGAAAAGTCTTATAAATTTTTCTTATATTAAATTACTGGAACAAGGTACTTTTTCTATAGAAAATTGTCATATTGCAGTTACATCATGTCAGGGAACATTGCCCTGGTCTGTGCATAGAGTAAAGGGTGTCCTCACTATCTCCCCTTCCCTAAAATTTACATCGAAGATCTATGCTAGATACAAACTATACATGGTGTTAATGGTTAAAAAAAAAAAAGATTTCATCATTGCTCATGTGAAATTATTAAAGAAAGAAATAAAGTCTGTTATATCATGGTGAGCTCCTTTTTTGAAAACCCTTCGGTGGCCTTTCCATACCTATAGAATAATGACAGAACTATGGCTTGGCAGTCTTGTTACTTGGCTAACCATACCTCTTTTCTGCAATTCCATTCTTAGCTTCTTGAAACTTCTGGAAATTTTCACTGTTTATACCTACAGAATTGCTCACAACTACACAAAATTTCTCCTACAGAAGACTCCATCCTTCCTTCCCTTCTAGTCCACACACTGCAGACCCATCTCTGCCAGGACTGCAGAAGCCTGTGATGATCTCTCCTCCCTCCACCAAATTCCTACAGCTTCACTTTAGAAAGTTGTTTAGCGTTTAGAAGGTGATATTGAGTTCCTCTTTGTACTTATTTTCTGCTGCTAATGTTGATGAGTATCATTCTTTTGCTTCAAATTAATTTTAATGTAATTTATAAAGAAGTAACATATTCCTGTGGTTCAGAACTGTTTTGTATACGTGAATAAAGTGGACCTCCAATCTGCATCTCCCAGGCTCTCAGCATCCTTTCCCTCAGGCAACTCATGTTACCTGCTTCTTGTTACCCTTTTATGCACATATAAATATGCATACGCATTAATTCTTTTTCCATTTATTTTTTAACACAAATGGTTGCATCCACTGTTTTGCATGTTGCTTTTTCCCCTATCAATTTATAAAGAGCTTTCTCATTCTTTTTTTTACAATTGCATGGTATTTCATTATAAGAGTATGCCATAATTTCTTCAACCATTTCCTATTGATGGACCTTTATAATATATATGTATTATCTACTATAAAAATGTTGCAATAAATAACCTTATTCAAAAGACATTTCTCACATGTGCAACTATCTCTCAGAATAAAGTCCTGGGAATAAAATTGCTGAGTCAGTGGATTTGCCCATTTGTAATTTTTACAGATACTGCCAAATCCATGAAAGTTACACTAGATGACTTTTCCACAGCGGTGTATGAGACTATCTGTTTAACCCATAGTTTTTTCCACACAGAATGTTGCCAAACTTTTGGATCTTTGGTAATCTGTTGAGGGCGTTTGAGGGATCTGGGGACCGGTGAGGGTGGGGACAGACATGGACATGAGGTGGTAGTAGGCACACAAGAGCTACGCTGGATGATGCTTTAACAAGTTTGCACGTTGGAGAGAGAGAAGTCCCTCAGAGCAGGAATCTCTCCAGACGCTGGTTTTTGGGGGTTGAGGGTCCCACAGCTCTAAAGGGGAGGAGGGCAAGGAAGAAGGGAGAAGAGGCTTATGCCGTGTCTTGGGGATGTTTCTCGGCAGCACTATGGTTTGGAGTTGCTGGATTGGAGTTCTGAAGGCCTGCACTGGCTTGGGGTCTTTATGTCCTGGGACTTATCTATAGCTAGCAGATGTTGGGTGCAAAGTAGGCAGGCTGTCAGTGGCTAAACATCTGCTTATTTGGGCTATGTTTACAAAAATTGAATGTGCAAAAGTTTGAGTTTGGTGCCAATGGGCTTTTGAGCTAACAGTTTTCAGCGTGCTATGAAGGAAACCCTCTAGGGGTCAATAAACAGACACTATCCTTGTCCCTTTACCTAACAATCTAATAGGTGAAAAATGATATCTAAGTATAGTTATCATTTGTGTTTTTTAAAATTATGAGTATTAGGGTAAGACTAACTGCTGTAACAAAGAGACCTAAAATACAGTAGCCTAAGTAAAAAAGAAGTGAATCTCTCTCTCGCCTAAGAACCCAGGGCAAGTGTTTGAGGCAACTGGCGGGGCAGCTCTGCTTTTGAGATCATCCAGACATTCAAGTTTTTTCTCTCATGCTAGGAAAGTCCCCTAGAGTGTGGTCCTCCTCAGTGAGATTGGAGCTGGCTCATGAATACCACATCTGTTGAAGAGCAAAAGAGAGTAATGAAGGCAAACAGCTTCCTTATAAAAAATACCTTCTGAAAGCACCATGTATAACTTCTACTTGCATCCTTCTGGCCAAAACTTGGTCATGCAGCCATGTCTAAGTACAAGAAAAGTTGGGAAAACTTGGGGTTGTATCACCAAAAGGAGACAAACAGGGAGACAGTTTGCAGTCTCTGCTATACTGAATGAGTTTGAGCATCTTTTCATATGTTTAAGATCCATTTTTATAAATGGATTCCATGAGTCATTTTCTATAAACTGCTCATTGTCTCTGCCCTTTTTTCTTTTGGATTGTTAGTCTGGTCCTATCAATTTATACACACTTCTTACATATTAGAGAAATTCATACTTTGTGTCTATGAAATGCTGCATGCTTTTCTTGACTATTAGACTTAAATTGTACTCTGTCAGTTTTCAGTAATCATCACAATTGGTTTGTGAAATGAAAATTACTCTAAAGGGCATATTATTTCTCTCTTTAACAGATAACTCCAGCTATAACAAATTATGTAACTGACAAACTAGGGAAAAAGTTTGTGGAGCCTCCACCATTTGATTTGACAAAGAGTTACTTGGACTCAAACTGTACCATTCCTTTAATTTTTGTGCTATCTCCGGGAGCGGATCCCATGGCTAGTAAGTCTGCCTACTGAATACTTTGAAGAACCTATAGATAAACCGTCTTGCTCAATGGCCACTTCTTTTTTTAATTTTTTAAAGATTTTATTTATTTATTTATTTATTTGAGAGAAAGAGACAGAGATAGCAAGAGAGAGCACAAGTGGGGAGGAGAGGGAAAAGCAGGCTCCCAGCTGAGCAGGGAGCCCGACGCAGGGCTCAATCCCAGGACCCTGAGATCATGACTTGAGCCAAAGGCAGACGCTTAACCAACTGAGCCACCCAGGCGCCCCATCAAGGGCCATTTCTTATATGATTGTAGCTCACTTAGTAAATCTGAGATGTATAAGGAAAAGTAACTGGAATCTTCCAGTGAAGTACCTGCACACTGAAACATAAGGCATACTTTGTGATTTTAGAGCAAGCAGTGAAACATTTTTTGTGCTCTCTTAGGCCTGCTGAAATTTGCAAATGATAAAGCTATGTCTGGAAATAAATTTCAAGCAATTTCCCTGGGACAAGGACAAGGACCAATTGCAACAAAAATGATTAAAGCAGCAATAGAAGAAGGAACTTGGGTGTGCCTACAGAATTGTCACCTTGCCGTCTCCTGGATGCCCACGTTGGAAAAAATATGTGAAGATTTTACCCCTGAAGTCTGTAACTCGTCCTTTAGGCTTTGGCTCACAAGTTATCCATCTCCGAAAGTATGTTTATTTTGTATGAAGTTCAGTACATTTATTCAGTTATCTCTTACATTGTGTATCTTAATCAAGCCTTAAATGCTTAACCTTAAGAGGTCTTAAAAATATTTCTGGAGTCCTCTTTTTTACCTATTTTTAACCCACTAGTATATGCATGTTTAGGACTCAAGCTGGTTATCTTTAGTAATGCTCTGTTTATTCTGTCTTAGTTCCCGGTAACCATCCTACAGAACGGAGTGAAAATGACTAATGAGCCTCCCACGGGTCTTCGGCTAAATCTCCTTCAATCTTACCTCACTGATCCAATTTCTGATTCTCAGTTTTTCGGTGGATGCCAGGAAAAGGAACTGGTAATGTTCAGCCTCTGGAGCTTTTCAAATGTGTTCTAACAGTGAGAAAATCTGGGACTATAAATATTTAACAATGTTAAACAAATAATGCAATATATGTTAAGGAAAAAAGAAGAAGAAGATAGCAGGAGGGGAAGAATGAAGGGGGGGAAATCAGAGAGGGAGATGAACCATGAGAGACGATGGACTCCGAAAAACAAACTGAGGGTTCTAGAGGGGAGGGAGGTGGGGGGATGGGTTAGCCTGGTGATGGGTATTAAAGAGGGCACGTTCTGTGTGTCGCACTGGGTGTTATGCGCAAACAATGAATCATGGAACACTACATTAAAAACTAATGATGTAATGTATGGTGATTAACATAACAATAAAAAATTAAAAAAAATATTTAACAATGTTAAACTTTAGGCATTCTCTAAGCAGACAGATATTGTGCCTGTATTGTTCATCATTTTCTTCCCAGCAGTTCGTGCTCTGCTTCCCACAGAGTAGACATTCAAATAGATATCTGTTGACTGAATGAATGTGTCTTACTTTGTAAACCAAAAATCCATTAACAAGTTTGATGAAGACCCAAGAGTAGCAATCTATTTTCATATCATATATTCATTCTTTTTTTTTAAAGATTTTATTTATTTGTTTACAGAAAGAGACACAATGAGAGAGGGAACACAAGCAGGGGGAGCAGGAGAGGGAGAAGCAGGCTTCCCAAGGAGCAGGGAGCCCCATGCAGGGCTCGATCCCAGGACCCCGGGATCATGACCTAAGCTGAAGGCAGATGCTTAACGACTGAGCCACCCAGGTGCCCCTCATGTATTCATTCTTTCAACAAAATGTGTGTTAGGTGATCGAGCCCCGCATCAGGCTCCCTGCTCCCTAGATATAAAGCAGTGAGAATAAAATAGACCCCCTCCCCCCAAATCTGCCTTCATGGAACTTAAATTCTAGCAATACCATTTTGACATATTGATCATGCCTTTTAGTGTGCTCATGTGAAACAGTTTTGCACGTGGTACTGGGGACTTAGGAATCCTAATAAACAAATAGCACTCCTTTTTCCTGCTGGCATTCTTACCAACTAAGAAACAGGAAAAAGTATAAACATAAGGGAACCAGATTATAACTTTATTACTGATATAGACTAGGTTGGAAGATATAGTTGATATCTGTGAACAAATGGGGTTCATATCACTGAATAGAATTAAACAGATTTGGGGCCCCTGGGTGGCTCAGTTGGTTAAGCGGCTGCCTTTGGCTCAGGTCATGATCCCAGGGTCCTGGGATCGAGCCCCACATCAGGTTCCCTGCTCAGCAGGAAGCCTGCTTCTCCTTCTCCCTCTGCCTGCCTCTCTGCCTACTTGTGCTCTCTATCTCTCTGTCAAATAAATAAAATCTTAAAAAAAAAAAAAAGAAAGAATTAAACAGATTTATCCACCCTCAGGAACAGAGGAAAGCTTTCTTCCCTAAGGAAAGCTCACTTCTAAGATGGAAAGGGAAAAGCTGAGCAGAGCATATCTGGTTAACTTTTCCCAAATTTATCAGCCAGATAGATTATTCCCTTCTCCTGCAGTGAATACAAGGATGGGGAAAATCTAGAAGTGTTACACTGAGGTCTCCTCACATGGAAGGAAACATCAGCACCAAGGGAAATTCATTCCCTGCCCTTACCCCAGCACATGCCATTTATCATATTTGCCTATTTGAGCTAGAAAAAGAATGGTAACGAAAATAAAGAATTGAATTCTTTGTAAGCCAGCTAGTTTCTCTCTGCTTAATGATAGCTTCTGTGTGCCCCTAGTTCTAAGCAATGTATTTATTTGAAATTCTTGGAGGAAAGTAGGATATTTGGTGGTTTAGCTAGAAAGAGAGCTTACAAAAATGGAGAAGGTGGTACAGTGTCTGATTCCCATCAAGGGTTGAGCTCCTGCAAGAAATCCTAAGATTTCTCTGATACCACAGGAACATTTTTGGCCACAAGCACGGGGCAAAAATGTGGAGGGATTATGATCTCCTTAAGAAAACCCCATTGGGTGAAAATATGTGGAAAATACATGTAAATTAGGTTATTGCTCTCATTGCCAAAAGGTTTCCCCCTTTTAAATGTTTCACCACAGCTTTCACCCAGTATATTTAAAATATGCTTTAATTTATGTGCAGCATTTCAAGAAAATAGTTATTCAGTAAGGCCATGGTGTACTTGCATTTTAATATTATAGAAATAATTTCTACATCACGTGAAGATAGTTGGATGGGTTTTTTCTGTATTTGGAGCTATGTTTGAAATGATTTAATTTAAGCCATCAAGGTAGCGTACTTGAAACTTACTTGGGGGGGGGCGGTCCTCAAAGAGATGGGTGGCCATCCTCCAGAGCACTGATAGACTCAGTGAGAGGCCCATCCCTTCGGACATACATGTCACACATATGAAGACACCAGGACAGAGTAAATAAACAAGGGTTTCAAGAATGATCTTCAGGGTGCCTGGGGGGCTCAGTCAGTTAAGCGACTGCCTTCGGCTCAGGTCATGATCCTGGAGTCTCGGGATCGAGTCCCGCATCGGGCTCCCCGCTCCCTCCCTCTGACCCTCCCCCCTCTCATGTGCTCTCTCTCTCTCTCATTTTCGCTCTCTCAAATAAATAAATAAATAAAATCTTTAAAAAAAAAGAATGATCTTCAAATGGAAAGTCATAAAATCAGGAACTATATATTGGGATTTATTCCTATCATAATAATTAATTATGCTTCTCGCACTGTAGTTTTAAGCATATGCCAGTGAGTCTACGGGATAACATTTAAAGTACTGAAGTTGTAAATATCTATGGACAACACCAAAGTATGAGTAGCCAATACTTTGGCAAATGGTAGAATTATTGCATTTTAACGAAGTTTAATATTGCAGTTTGTCTAGCTTTGGAGGTTTTAAGTCATAAGATTAATACTTTTTATAGTATGCATTGTTTTAGGTAGCATGTCTTTTTTATTATTATTATTTTATTATGTTATGTTAGTCACCATACAATACTTCATTAGTTTTTGATGTGGTGATCCATGATCCATTGCTTTCGTATAACACCCAGTGCTCCATGCAGTACGTGCCCTCCTTAATACCCACCACCAGGCTAACCAATCCCCCCCGCTGCCCCGCAAAACCCTGTTTGTCTCTCAGAGTCCATAGTTCTCTCGTGGTTCATCTCTCCCTCCAATTCCGCCCCCCTCTTCATTTTTCCCTTCCTTCTCCTACTGTCCTCCATGAGGTAGCATGTCTTTTTTAAATAGAAGTTTACAGAAATATATGACCATAGAATCTTACAATGAAAAAAGATTGTTGATTCCCCTGATCTTACTGATGGAAATCTGATTAGAATTTTTTCTTGTTGTGTAATTTTTATACTCAAGACATGGGAGAAGTTGCTGTTTGGAGTTTGTTTTTTTCATGCCCTTGTACAAGAGAGAAAGAAATTTGGTCCTCTTGGTTGGAATATTCCATATGGATTTAATGAATCAGACTTACGCATCAGTATTCGACAACTACAGGTAAAATTAGAAAGAAATTAACATTGATGGAGGATCACTGTGTGTCAGGCCCTAGACAACTCCCTTTGCTTAAAATAAACTTAATCCTCCCAACATCACTAGTAGGTGGGTAGATCGTAGTAAAAATTATAACTGTGGTTTATGAAGCACTATCTCTGTGGATTTTTTCTGCTGTAAGTAATGGAAAACCTGATTGAAACTGGCTTAAACCATAATGAAACTTACTATCTCACATAAAAAAGTAGTACAAAAGGAAGGACAGGCTCTGGAGTTGGTTGACTGAGCAAGTGTTGTCATCAAGGACCCTGGTTCTTTCTGTCTTTCTGCAGTGCCCTCCTCAAGTGTTGGCTTTAGAGAGGTCCTTAACTATACTCTCTTCCTCCGCTCAGTCAAAGCTACAGTTCAGCTCTATCAATCAAAAGAAATAGGCTGCCTACTTTAAGTAGAAAAGGAATTTATTGAAAGAATATTTGGGTACATCATAGAATCCCTAAGATGGCTGGAGAGCCAAGGCATCCAGAGTCATATCTAGAACTCACCATGTCTTGGTAAGAGCAGATCCTCAACCCTGGTTGAATAATCAACACCACAGCTCACATAGCTGCCACACAGACTCTGTCTACTGTAAGCCCCATGATGTCATCAAAAAAGATTCTTTGCTAATCCTGCTTTTTTGTGCACTACACCTCAGTTCGAAGTCTAACTCACAGGTCTAAGGTGTAATTATAAAGGAGGCTGGAAAATGCGTGTTTGGGTTTTCCAGTTTCTATAGACTTACAAAATAAGACATTTAAATAGTCAGCAGTCCCCCAGAAAAAAAAAATATCTGCTATAAATTCCTGCTAACTCAGATTTTGAAGTAGGCACATTATTTACATTAATTCGAAGCAACTCTATAAGGTTGGTATTATCCCTATTTTTGAGAAAAACAAAGCTAAGAAGTGAGCTTGCCCATTGAGATAGGATTTGAACTCCAGTCTGTCCAACTCCAGTACTTTCCCCATTATTTCTATCATATTTTACCAAATATAGTAATCCAGCTGGACAACCACAGAGTGTTAATGCATTTCTGCTTCTTTGCTGTGACAAGAGCCTTTGTGACATGGGGCCTCATAAAGGGAAATGGGAAGTGTTGATAAAGCCCAATTAGGTTTCACTCAGGTGGGGCTTTATAAGGCTATGAATATTTAATCATGTTTATACCATAACTGATAATTTTTATAGAAACTTTTGATATTTATCAACTCTTTTTCTTTCCTGTAAGCAAGGCAGAAACCTAATTAGAACAAACCTGTCAATTTGAAAATCCTTGGACAACTGATGAAATTGGTGCTTATAGAATTATAATTACATGACGAAATTACATTGATTTTAAACATTCGTTTTAAGAACAATTTAGTTGATATAGCCTAAGCTTGGAGAACATTTTGCTAATATCATCCTACTGCAGATAACCAGTCAACTTGAGAGTTCTCTTCTGGCCAGGCCCCAGCCTGTAGCCTCTGGTGTCATCAACCCTCCTAACCCCAACATTGGAGCTGGCAGGCATAGATTAAATCCTCTTTTATATCATCAAGAACTGGGTACTTGAGGGGGGATCAGTCTTTAAACCATCTTCACCTGGTCCTACCAGCAGGCTACCTCTTGCCTCCAGCGAACTTACGGCTAAGTAGTAGACAACCAAGGAATACTTGTTAGTCTCTGTGTCTTGCATATGCCACAAATTTAACATGAATTTCTCTTGGGGTCTCTTCCTTCAGTTTTGGGAAGGGGGGAAACCCAGTTTAACATACCTTTCCCTCCCCCAAAGATAAGAAAGGGAGAAACTTTTCTCTTTCACCACAAAAGATGACCTTCCGTCTCCTGCTCATATCTCTTGACGCTTCTCTTCCTCCCGAAAACATGGGAGTCTCAAACAAAGAACGATACCTTCTTTTAACTTGGCTCTGGATAATTTGGAAATATTTTTTCTTAACTGTGCATCATTTCTGTTATAATTCCTGTACTATTAGGTAAGTTTTGGGGGCAGGAAAAGTTCTCATCCAGTAACTTATACCATCCTAATACATATATTACCAAAAATTCCTGTCTATGGGAAAAAGTAAAGGATCTGGAACTGGAAGAAATAAATTCAGGCCTTCATATCATTTCACATTTCCCAGACTCAGCTTCCTACCTGACAGGGTTATCAGGAGATAAGTAAGATAATGTAAAAGCTATGCAAATAGTAGTCTTTATTACTGTTTTAAATGTTGTCATATTGTGTGAACCAGGCTTTGGCACTAAAATTTGGGATTGCTTTGTTTTAATCACATTGCAAACAGTGCCCTAAGTCAGGCACCTGGTTCTCAGCCTTGGCGCAATTGGCATTTGGGGCCAGATAGCTCCTTGCTGTGGGCAGCTGGCCTGGGCACTGTTCAGCGGCATCTAAACTTCTGCCCACTAGATGACAGTAGCACCCCCAACCACCAATCTAAAATGTCCCCAAATATTGCCAAAGGTCCCCTAAGGGACAAAACTGCCCCAATTAACAACCAGTGCCCTAAAACAAGATTTATTCAAATTCATATGAAAAATCCTTGGTAACTTTAATGTCATCCTTTTTGTTAAATGTTTTTCTTATTACAGAAGCAATACATGTTTATTCCCCCAGCCCTAAAATTGGAAGATGCAGATAAGCAAAGTAATTTAAAATAAACACTAACAGGACACCCGGGTGGCTCAGTCATCTGGGTAAGCGTCTGACTCTTGATTTCCGCTTAGGTCGTGATCTCAGGATCGTGAGATCGAGCCTCACGTCGGGCTCTGCGCTGGGCGTGCAGTCTGCTTAAGATTCTCTCTCTCTCCTTCTGTCCCCCCTCCCCATTCTCTCTCTCTCTCTCAAAAAGAAAGGTAAAATAAAATAAAAAATAAACACTAACAATCCTAGCCTTCCAAAGGTAAGTTGTGATGATAGTTCGCTCAACCCCACTTCTGTGCATGTAGATGGATAGATGATTGAGAGAGAGAGATAGGTATTTAATGTCATTTTAAAATGGAAATGAAGTAAAAAAAAAACTTGAAGGTTTTTCTCATTTTATTTTTCCTTTGTTTCAGTTATTTATAAATGAATATAATACAGTTCCATTTGAAGCTATCTCCTATCTGACCGGGGAATGTAACTATGGTGGAAGGGTGACAGACGATTGGGACAGACGCCTCCTCTTAACCACGCTGGCTGACTTTTATAACCCACAAATCATCGAAAACCCTCATTACAAGTTTTCTCCCAGTGGAAACTATTTTGCGCCTCCCAAAGGCACCTACGATGAGTACATTGAATTCATTAAGGTAACTGATGTCACTGAAAATAGGGTTAGATTTAAGTGTGATTTTTCTAAAAGCAAATAATGAAATGTTCCCCTGTAATGTAGAGGGCTAGACAAGTAGTATGGTTTCAGTCAACTTCCAGTATCTTTTGTTTCTGGCCATTACTGAAAATTGGAAGAGTTTGATTCCTCCGTGCTTAATGTGTAGTTGATTTTTAACCCTTTTTGGTCTGCATGCTTTTACACCTTATGAATTAACGTAGCTGGTGGAAATATGATGCTTGCTTCATCTGTTTTCTGGTAGAATCTCCCATTTACTCAACACCCTGAGATATTTGGATTACATGAAAATGTCGATATTTCCAAAGATCTGCAACAAACAAAAGTCCTCTTTGAGTCCTTGCTCCTCACCCAGGGAGGCTCCAAACAGACAGGATCCTCAGGAAGTGCTGACCAGATTCTATTAGAAATCACCAAAGATATTCTCAAGAAGGTAATGTTTAGTTTAAAATATGTTGCTTATCCTGTAAATTAAAATGGTACTGAATTGACAATCTGAAGACTCCATTTGGCAGCATTAGGACCTTGAGTGAGAAACTTTTTGCCTTTCTGAGCCTTAGTTCTCAAATCTGTAAAGTGGTGGTCATAGTACCAACAGTATAAGGTTCTTGTGAACATCTAAGAGGTCATGAATTTAAAGTGCTCTGCATGATGCCTGGCACAATGTAAGTTCTTAGTAACTACAGTTGTGGATGAGCTAATGAACATGTGACTTATTATCATTTCCAAACAAAGATAATGGATCTACTTTTTAAAAACTGGAGGAAATGGTCTGAACTTGCTGGTTCAAGGGATGAATGGTTTTTAATCCACACCTTAGGGAAGGGGCACAGGAAGTAAGATCAGCACTAAATTAGCAACTACAGCTTTTTTTTATTTCTCTTCATACTATATGTAGCCCAAAATACTTAGCCTACCAGGTAAAGTGGAATGATACTCTTTCTTCTTACCTTTTTTCTGTGTCTTAAATTCAACAAGGAACTACTAAGGGAACTTTAAAAAGATTATGGTCATAAGTGGATCTTCACAATTCCCCTCCAGGGTAAATGCTATAATTAGCCCCATATTTCAGTATCAGGTGTTCTAACAGAGCAGAGCCTGACCCACGGTCCACCTGCCTTGAAAGCCCATGGACAGCGCCACTCCTCTCCACTGCGTTGGTGGCCTTGCCCTTACACCACTCCTAAGGAGAGCCTCCGCACTGTGTGCCCAGCTGCGGCCACAGGTGAAAGCAAGCTAGCCTCCTCCCACACTGTCCCAGACTGCTGCGTCTGCGCTCTGAGTCTCCTCACCCGTGGCCCCTCACTGTTTCTGCAGTTTGTCTCTGGGGGGAAGGTTCTCACTCTTGCAGAATAGTGGCTCTTACGTGGTCCTGAAGAGGAAGTTAGCTGGCAGTGGCATTTGGGAATGTATTTGGGGAAAAGGGGCTGTGCTGAGCCAAAGAGTCCTTGAGTGACACCACCTAGTGTGACTCTGGGCAGTTCAGCTTTCTTAGTTCGGGACCTCCCTGACTGGGAAGCTTCTTTGCCTTGGAGTGTGAATTCCAATGTCTTGAGGCTTGATTATCAGTCCCAAAGTCCCCTTCACTTCTCAAGCATCTCTGAGGTGCCTCATAGAAAGCAAACACTTGATGCCTTCTCTCTCCCTATTCCTTGGAACCCTGATGCAGTCACACATTAATTATCTGGAAGTGGGGTAGGCTAAGCTATTTGGAGCCAGTTGATAATTGATTGGAAATAAATATAAAACTGTTAGGAAATGGCAAATCAGTTTTATCAATGAAAAATTAGATTCAGCTTACAAAAGGAAATTACACAACATTTCAGAAATATATATCTTCTGCAAAGTGCTATAGCCTGTAGTAAAGAGCATGGGCTTTGCAGTTAGAGACCTGTGGATTTAAACAGATCACCTTTTGGCTGTGTGCCCTTGGGCAGTTACTCAACCTCTCTGTACAGTTGACCCTGAACAACACAGGTTTGAACTGCACAGATCCACTTATATGTGAATTTTTTTGATAAATACGGCACAGTACTGTAAATGTATCTTCTCTTCCTTAAGATTTTCTTAATAACATTTTCTTTTCTCTAGCTTACTGTATTGTAAGAATACAGTCTATAATATATATGACATACAAAATATGTGTTAATTGACTGTTTACGTTATTGGCAAGGCTTCCGGTCAGTTGTAGGTTATTAGTAAAGTTTTTGGAGAGTCGAACTTATACATGGATTTTTGACTATGTGGGGGGTGGGGGGGGCAACGCTCTAACCCCTGCATTGTTCAAGGGTCAACTGTACTTGAATATCCTCATCTGTAAAATGGAGATGACAATAGCCCCCTGAGAGTACATGGTTAGGATTACATGAAATAATGTATGGAAAGCAGTTAGCACAACGCCTAGCCCATAGTAACTGCTTAGTGTTAGCTACTAGTGATGTGATAGCTGAATGAAACGAATTATCCATTCTGAGAGTAATATGTGATCTTCAAAATCTATTTTCTTAGCTACCAAATGATTTTGACATTGAATTAGCACTACTGAAGTTTCCTGTGAGCTATGAAGAGAGCATGAATACCGTGTTAGTACAAGAAATGGAAAGATTTAACAAGTAAGGATCTATCTCCCCAGTGGTTCAGAAAACAACCAAAGTTGATTTAAAAAAAAAAAAAGACACACTGGTATTGAATTAAAATTTTAAGAAAAACTTATCAAAACCTGCCATTTCCTTAGGATCCAGCCCCACTCTTTAAAGTTGTATAATCTTCTGCCGCAGAAGTGAAGATATCTTTTAGAATGCAAAAGTGATGACGGAAATGAGATCTGTTTTTACTGGTGAAAATATTCATTAGTCATAATTCTCACCACCCGTTACTGTTCTCCTCAGGAACTAAAGACCAAATGAGCCAATGACAAGTCTTTTGTCATTATTCTGCCACTTGATGCATATATACCTCCCTTTTCTTCCTTAGTCCAACCTAGGTCGATTAGGTATCCCACAATAGTGAACAAATTATTTGCTTTGAATATTTTAATTGAATTTTCTACAATTCAATACTGGCTTAAGGAATGGAGAAATTGTTTTGATTATGAATTTTCTAAGGTGTTTTCAAGTTTATTTGGGTTTCTGGACTTGTTGACACTTAAAAATATATTAAAACACTGTGATGCCTTAATTCAGTATTTTTTATACAAAGACCATATGTATTTATATGTAATAGTATACTGTCTCTCAGTCTCTCAGTTGCTTAGGCTTCTAGCCTAAAACCCTCAGCTCAGGTCTATTTACAGTGTTCTTAGCAGTTTGGGTCTATGTGGGAAGCAAAGTATTTGCAAGTATATCCATGAATATATGCTTTATGCTTTAAGGAATTATTTCACAAATTTCAGCCTTTGGATTACACCTTTATAACTTTTTCGGTATTTGCATGTCACCCTGTAACATTATTTACCTGATATTTTTCCTAAAATCATTCTCTGCTTAAATTAGCCTGGTCTTAAACCATAATACCCAGAAAGCAACAACTTTGATATGCTTGTTGTATTATTTTCTATATTATGTAGTGATTAAAACAAAAAACGTTCATCCAAGTATCACCTAAAAGTACCTTCCATTACCAACTGGGAGGTGACTCCATTTGGGGAAACACTTCCATAAAACTGTGAATGAGATTTCAGCTACTTCTTCTGGAAAGACAGTACATTGATATTTACCCTCATATGTACATTGATGAAATGATTTCTTTCTTTGCAGTTTAATTAAAACTATACGCAACACTCTACAGGACCTTGAAAAAGCTATTAAGGGCGTGGTTGTAATGGATTCTGCACTGGAGGCATTCTCTGGCAGTCTGCTTGTTGGAAAGGTTCCAGAAATATGGGCTGCACGATCATACCCAAGTCTTAAACCCCTAGCAAGTTATATCACAGATTTTCTAGCCCGGTTGAACTTTTTACAGGTAAAAGATCATGTAATTTATATATATATATATAAAATTTTATTTTTTGATTGACTGGAGAGAGATTAGAAACACTCTGGTCACTTGAATGTCTCTGAGTTGAGCAATGTGGTTAGCAGTCATGGTAATCTAACCGAACTTTTAGAATATTGAAAATACGGGCGCGTGGGTGGCTCAGTGGGTTAAGCATCTGCCTTCAGCTCAGGTCATGATCCCAGGGTCCTGGGATCGAGTCCCACATTGGGCTCCCTGCTCAGCAGGGAGTCTGCTTCTCCCTCTCCCTTGGTCCCTCCCCCTGCTTGTGCTCTCTCTCTCTCAAATAAATAACATTTTTAAAAGAAAAAAATATTAAAAATAACATATTTCAGGGGCACCTGAGTGGCTCAGTCGATTAAGCATCTGCCTTCAGCTCAGGTCATGATCCCGGGGTCCTGGGATTGAGTCCCACATCGGGCTCCCTGCTCATTCTCCCTCTCCCACTCCCCCTGCTTGTATTCCCTCTCTCGCTGTGTCTCTCTGTGTCAAATAAATAAATAAAATCTTTAAAAAAAATAACATATTTCAAAGTACTGAGGAGAAAGTTAAAATTTTACTTTACTCAAGTCCAAGTAATAGGTGACATATTTTTTTAAGATTCTAGGTTTGTGGCTCTCTGAGACCACATACTTGGTCTTGTCATTTTAATACTGGTGGTAAATCACAAAAAGAACCCAAGATTTGGATTTACCAATAACTGGCCATTGTCTTAAAATCAGTTGCTTCTTATCCTTTATCTCATAAAAGGGAAAAGTTGAGTGCTTTGAAATCTCTACCCCGCATCCCAAAACACACACATAAAGGATGTTCAGGGCACTCTCTCCTCCCCAGCAACTCAGCTTGCCCCCATCCTATGGTTAATGTTTATGTGGGGGTAAGAAGTGGGAAGAGCCCCCAAAATACTTTTTGGAAATTCACATTAGGTATATGACCTCTCCGTGTTCAGTTGCCTTTCTATTACACAAGAGCTTTATTTGTTTCACTGTGGAAGCTAATCATAAAATAGCCAGTGCTTATGAAGATGTGGAGAGAGAGGCTTTCTTATTCACCCCTTTTTAATTTTTACCAATCTGATAGATGAACCAGTCTTATTGTTTCAATCTGCCTTTTTTTTGAGAGAGAGAGAGAGAGAGTGTGTATGTGGGGGAGGGGCAGAGGGAGAGGGAGAGAGAATCTCAAGGAGACTCCCCACTGAGCAGGGAGCCCAATACAAGGTAGATCCCACGACCCTGAGACCATGACCTGAGCTGAAATCAGGAGTCGGATGCTTAACCGACTGAGCCACCCAGATGCCCCATTTTTTTTTTTTTAATAATTAGTGAGCTTGTGCTTCTTCTGGTATGTGTGCTTGCCATTTGTATTTCTCCTGTGAATTGCCTCTTCATCTCCTTGGCCCATTTTTCTTCTTGGCTGTTTCTGAAAAATTAATTTATAGGAGATTTTTGTGTAGATTTTACATTTAACAACAACAACAACAAACAGTCCAGAAAACAGGGGTTTTCAGTGTTCAGGGTGTAGAAGAGATGCCACTTAACAGTTTTCTCATCCATAAAATGGTCAATTTTATCTCACAGGGTGACAGTCCCATGGTATTGGTAAGAACTCAGTAAAAGTAGATTATTCTTTTGTAATATCATAACTTGTTGAACTTTATCAAATGCCTTTGCAGCATTTATTGCTGATGATGTGACTTCTTTTTCTTCTTGACTTTAAGCAAGATGTTATTCATCTTTCTGCACTCCAGTTTCCTCATCTGTAAAATGGGAGGAATAACTCACTGAGTTATTTTGTGAACCAAATGAGGTGATGCATGTAAAGTGCTGAGCATAGTGCCTGGCATGCACTAAGCACCCAGTAAATGGTAGCTAATTCAGAAACCCTATACAAGTCGCTGACCCAGACACTCGTGACATTCTTGGCTAAACGAAGCCCTGGAGTGAGCCAGGGAATTTTCTATACACTCGCCTTCTGGGTTCTGACAGCTTTTTTGTGCATGGTGCCAGTTCTGCCTGGCTTGTGTCCTTTCCAAGGTCCATCTCTTTTTCCACCTCTTCTTTTATTTTTTATTTTTAAGATTTATTTATTTATTTGAGAGAGACAGCATGGGGGGGCAGAGGGAAAGAATCTCAAGCAGACGCCCTGCTGAGCGTGCCCCCACCCCCAGTGCCAGGCTCGATCTCACAACCCTGAGATCATGACCTGAGTGGAAATCAAGAGTCGGATGCTTAACCTGCTGAGCCACCCAGGCGCCCCTCCACCTCCTCCTGATTTGATAATTACACTGTTGCAACATCTCTAGCACAAGTCTGGTCTCTTCCTCCCAGGAAGCAAAGCTGGCTTCCCACAGTGCACTGCTCGCTCAGAGACAGAGTTCATTTTATTGATTCATCTGTTCATTCAACTAATGTGAATTGAGACCCCACTTTGTCCAGAACATCTTGTTGTGTCCTCTGTGAGATAAAAGTGTGATGGCCACATGAGCCCTGCCTTCAAGTTGCCAATAGTCTACAGGGGGATAAGCTTATATGTATCTAAGAAAAAACAAATTCAGTAGAGTAGGAGATGCGTCATAAAAGATCAATTTGTAAAATGTTCTGGGAATTCAAAGAAAGGAGAGAGTTCTTCTAGCCCAGGAAAGCAGAGCTTGTTTACTGGATGAGGAAGCATTTGAGCTGGGTCTAAGGGATGAGAGGTTTTGGATGCTACAAGAAAAAAGGAAAAGGACTTAGAGATAGCTGTGCAATGAAAGGCAGTATCTCATTTAGGACTGCTTCTGTTGTAAAAATTCTGACATAAATGCAAATAAAGTTTATTCCCTCAGTAATTGAAAAATCCAGGGCATCAAGTGGCTCTAGGCAAGAGCTGACGTGGGGTGCAAAATTGTTCCCTGGTCCTGGATTCTTGCACCTCGTCTCCTGGCTCCCTTTCTCTGAGGCTTGACTCCATTCGCAGGTAGGTTCTTGTCCGATGGTAGCAAAAGAGCTGCAGCAACTCTGGCCCCACATCCACGCAACTTCACAGAGCTGAGTGTCTTTTCCCCAAAAGTCCCAGCAAGAGTCTCTGCATCTCTGGCTTTGATTGGGTCATGTGTCCATTCCTGAATCGATCCCGATGACTGGAGGTATCATCGGCCAGGCATGAATCACGTGCCCACCCCAGGAAGTAGAGTTCCTGCACCAAAAGTGCTTGGGTGAAGAGTGTGGAAAGGTTCAGCCTCCATCGGGATGTAAGACGGATGTCCACCCAATGCAGAGAACAGACCAGCAAATAGTCTGATTAGAATGCAAGATGCTTGAAGAGGAATTAAAAGGGACCAAGCTGGAAATACAATTTGGGGCCAGATTGTGAAGTCTCTTGACTAGGAGACTAAGGTGCTTAGACTTTAATTTGGTAGAGTAGTAGTAGATCACTAAAGAATTATGCAAGGTGCTAAACCCAATCCGAACCATGTATGGTGAAGTCTACTCTGGAAGCGTGACTCTAGATGTGCTGAGCAGAGAGAGAGGAAAGAAGTGAGAAGAGGGACACATCAAAACAGAAAGAAGACAGTGGATCTCTGAACTGGAGTGGGGGCAGTGGGCACGGAGGCACGGGGTGTTGAGAGGTTTAAGGAGCTGGAATCAACACAGGAGGGCTCCGTGATATGATGCGTAAGATGTCTAAAGGTAGTGGCTTTTGAGTAGGATTAAGTAATATGATAAATCCCCAAATAATTTATCTTTGGCTCTTTGCAGAAGATGTGAATCTTTCAAATGTTGTTTTATTCAGGTTAATGTTAAAATTAGTTTGAATTTTCCAAGAAGAGTAACTATAAGGGAAAAGAGGTAGAAGGCCAAGGTTCTGTGCTTTGAGTAGGGGAAGAGAGTCCTGTGGTGGAGTGTGGGCAGCACAAAAACCAGAATCAGGAATTGTATATGAGGACACCTGGGTGGCTCAGTCATTAAGCGTCTGCCTTCGGCTCAGGTGATGATCCCAGGGTCCTGGGATTGAGCCCCACATCAGGCTCCCTGCTCCGCAGGAAGCCTGCTTCTCCCTCTCCCGCTCCCCCTGCTTGTGTTCCCACTCTCGCTGTGTCTCTCTCTGTCAAATAAATAAATACAATCTTTTTTTTTAAAAAAAAAGGAATTGTATGAGGTGATGCTGTGTGAGTTGGAAAATGAACATGATGCATTTTGTTTGCCCTTTACAGGACTGGCATAATTCAGGAAAACCTAATGTGTTCTGGCTCTCAGGATTCTTTTTCACCCAAGCCTTCCTAACTGGAGCTATGCAGAATTATGCTAGAAAATACACCATCCCTATTGATTTACTAGGATATGAATTTGAGGTACAGTAACCCCCTGAACTCCACAGTCTATCACTATATCAAAATCATGTATTTAAGCAAGGAAGATATGCAGAATTCCTATCTTTATGGTCCATTATAAACTATTTGATTTCTTTCCATCCTTTGTGTTTCATGAAGAAAGTAGATGATATTTGTCTTGCTGTGTCTGATAGGACTTATATATATTTCAATTTTCCACTCAAATAATCTAATGCTGTTCTTCTGTTTTAGCAGAAATTAATATAAGGTACAGTAAAACCTGATAAAATGCTTCAAAAAGAACTGTATTATACATTTTTACATTTACACTTCTACTGAAAAATGTATACAAGCCATTATATAGTGGAGTTTCCCTGAATACATTCTGAAAATTGAGCAAATGTTTTCCTTATGAGACAGAGTGGTCTGGGAAAGAAACCATTACAAGTGTGTACCTCTCCCTTCAGGTTATTCCTTCGGATACATCCGAGATGGCCCCAGAAGACGGCGTGTACATCCACGGATTGTATCTTGATGGGGCGCGCTGGGACAGAACAAGGTCAGGGCTTTGAACTGAAGACATGGCTTTAGTTGTAGCTGAATGAGTAAAACACACCATCTGCTGCCTCCCTCCCACCCCACCAAATGGCCTCTTCTAGGGAATATGGCAAGTAGTAAAAAATATCAGAATCCTTGCCATAAATCGTTACTCAGGCTGGAGCACTTGATAAGTGAGTGTTTTTAGGTCCTGAAGAATTTTTAGTTAATATTCCAGTGGTCTTACTGGTAGAAGTTAGCTGAAATTATTTTCTCGCTTCTTCTGTTTTAGGACTGTTACCTTCTGTCTCGTAACATGCAGGAGTGCCTCACTTTCAAACATTTTATGGTTATAGTAAACTTCCCATTTCTGTTGGTAAATGGAAAACTTTCTCTCAGATTTTGATGACATAATAAAAAAAATATTTAAAATAAATACTGAATTTCCAGCTTGGAAAACTGAGCATTGCTATTCTTGTTTAAAATACACAGGGGAGGGGCACCTGGGTGGCTCAGTCAGTTACACAGGGGACTCTTGGTTTTTGCTCAGGTTATGATCTTAGGGCGGTGGGACTGAGCCCTGCCTCAGGGCTCTGCGCTCAGCGGGAGTCTGCTTGAGATTCTCTCCCTCTACCCCTCCCGCTCGTCCTCTCTCTCTCTAAAATAAAAAATTAATAAATCTTTAAGGAAAAATACGTAGAGGTAAGAGGGAAGGGGAGAGATTATTTCCCTTGGAACCCTACTCTTTATCAGTCCACTAATAAGCACAATCCTCTATTTCCAGGGTCAGGGTTAGGCTTTGCTCTCAAGGGAGGGTTAAAGGCTGAGGCCCAGAGAATCGCTTGAGGGGAGCGAGAAGGAGGCTCTAGAGAGATCATTCCAAGACAGGGCGAAGAGGAGACTTAGCTCCACCTAGTTCCTGTGGTTATTTTTCTCTCTCTTCTTTTTCATCACTCTACTGACATTTGTCTTAACTTACTTTTCCTTATATATGTATTCATTCATCTTTTCCTTCCTTCTTCCTCCCTTTGTCCCTTCGTCCCTTCCTCCCTTCCCTCCTTTTTTCAAACAAATAAACATAGGGAAAAGAAACCACGTTTTCTAGACAGGCAGATGTGCGTTTGAATTCTGACTCTGGCACGTAAGGGCTGTGTTACTGAGAGAAAACTACTCAACCTCTCTGAACCTCCACTCTTCATCTGTGGAACAGGAATGGGGACAAGGTCACGGTGAGAACCAAATGTGATAGGACAGTGTTGGCCTCATGGATGGTACTTAAAAAGTGGCAGGGGTGCCTAGGTGGCTTTGTCAGTTAAGCATCTGCCTTCAGCTCAGGTCATGATCTCAGGGTCCTGGGATCGGATCGTCGGGTTCCCTGCTCAGTGGGGAATCTGCTTCTCCCTCTCTCCTGCCCCTACCCCACTCATGCACTCTCTCTCTCAAATAAATAAATCTTTTTTTTTTTTAAGTGACAGGAATTGATATTTTTTCACTGTTTGCACACATTGCCTTGCCATAATTTTCTTTCGTTTCTTTCAATTATTCATTGCCTCTTCCTTGGCTTTGTTTTGTTTTGTTTTATATTTCTTTCTCTGCATATTTCTGGTCCTCTCTTGTATTAAAAGCCAATATCTAAGTAGCAATTTCTAGAAGCAAATTTCATCTTATTTCTAATAAACGTGTCAATTTCTCCTCACAGTGGATTGCTTGCCGAACAACACCCCAAACTTCTATTTGACCTGATGCCCATCATATGGATAAAACCAAGTAAGTCTACTTCTAACAAAATTTCTTAAGAGTTTTAGAGAGGGGTATTTTTAATGGATCCCCCAGTTAACTCTCTGTTCAAACCTATTAAGACTTTGTTCAATTACAATAAACAGCGACTTAATGTTTACATTGGAAATATATTGTTCCCCTTTTTCGTGTCACATTCATGTTATTCTGGGCATATCATCATGCCTTTTTGCTCTTATCCCATGGGATGCAACATTTTCTCTGCCCCTCCCCCACACTTCTAGTTTTCCAGAGTCCGGGGCTTCCCATCAATATTTTGATTCTGAAATGCTTTTGCCCACCTCTCAGAAACACACGGCTGGTGGCTACAGTCTTCTGGCTATGGGAAACTCCGAGGCCCAAGAGCCAGACAGGTGCCCGAAGGCACAAACCTGCAAGGCACAGGGGCTGGAGGCCGACTCTGCTCTCCTGGGAAAGCTACTCACTCCTTCCCTTCTTCTGCTACTATCATTTTTCCCCGAGTTTGAACAAATGAGGCTCATTCTTTTGTTTTTTCTTTCTTCTCTAGTGTTTTTGTTCTCTGATAATTATCAATGGAAACATTTCCAAATCATCCACAATCACCACCTAACCCATTAAGTATTTTCATTATTAACACAGTTCAATTATAACTATGAGAAATGTAGCCTTAGTTTAGAAACACTCCTAATAGCTCATATCAGCCTTTTCAAGGATAATATGTAGGTTCTTTCTGTGAGTAGGTAAGAGTTGGTGTGTCTTCCATAGTAATAACCTGCTGAAAGCAAATAGTAACTTCCGCTTCTTCTGATTTATCCATTTCTTGTATTCGGGCTCTAAGCAGCAGTGTCCTGTCTTTATATATCTGCCTCATTGCCTGTGCTGTATTTTATTCCTTCTTCCCTACCTTCTCCTCCTGTCCCAAGTCCTCTTGAGTGTTTTCATGCCTGCTAAGTTATCAGGACTAAGAATCGATTCCTATCCTCTAAACCAAGAATCATGCACCATATGAAATCACTTGTCTTGTTTCACAGTCATTAATTATATACCAATGGTATATAACAACATACAACAGTAACAACATTGAAATGTTCAAATATTATAATCATAATCTTAGATTTAGTACTAAAATAGTTGTTCTTTTAGCCCCAGGGGCTGTTTTCCCTTTACTAAATGAATGTATTTCTTTCTTTTCCAAGCCAAAAAGTCTCAGATTGTGAAGTCGAATGCCTACGTCTGTCCCCTCTACAAGACAAGTGAACGTAAAGGAACTCTTTCCACTACAGGACATTCCACTAACTTTGTTATTGCAATGTTGTTAAAGACGGACCAACCCACTCAACACTGGATCAAGCGTGGGGTTGCCTTGCTTTGTCAGTTGGATAACTAAATTGGACAAACTTAAGAAAACATCTGAAAGACATTAAAAAAAATCTGTGTTGTCTTCACTTACTTCAAAATATATATATTATAAAACCAAGTATCTTTGTGTCATTCTTTTTTTTTTTTTTAAGTAGGCTCTATGCCCAGTGTGGAGTCCAACACAATGCTTGAACTCACGACCCTGAGATCAAGACCTGAGCTGAGATCAAGATACTCAGCCAGCTGAGCCACCCAGGCACCCCATGTGTCTTTCTTTTAAATGGTCTTTTCACAGTCCTCCTCCTTGAGGTACCACTCTTGCTTGACTGGAATACAGCCCTTCTAGAAAACATGAAGAGAAATGTTTTGAAGCATTTGAAGCATATGAGAAACCTTTGAAACTTTTATTTACTTGACATGTAGGTGAAAAACAGATTTGGGGAGACTAACCGGATAAAACTTAATATCAGAAAACATGTTTTCACAAGTGTTAAGTCATTTCTTCAGCTTCAGTAATAGTTGACTTTCCACTCACCTACCAGAGGTGATTTTTTTTTTTTTTTAAGATTTTATTTATTTGACAGAGACACAGCGAGAGCAGGAACACAAGCAGGGGGAGTGGGAGAGGGAGAAGCAGGCTTCCCGCTGAGCAGGGAGCCTGATGCGGGGCTCGATCCCAGGAGTCTGGGATCATGACCTGAGCCGAAGGCAGCCGCTTAACGACTGAGCCACCCAGGCGCCCCAAAGGTGATTCTAAATAAGGAAAATACCAATTCCAGAACTAAACCCCTTACATCACACTTTTACAGCATTAGCTCCATGGCTCACAGTGTCAAGGGAAGTTAACTCACACAGTGAAGTTTGCGTACAAAGGCAGTGGATGGCTGGGGGCAGGTCTACACACCCGCGGCCATATATTGTGCTGCTTGGCATTGATTCTGTCTTTGATTGAAATGCCAAGTGTCTCTTTGTTATGTTTAATAGTTAATATTCTTACTATTTAACATATATTCATAATAGTATAGATTAACAATTTTAAAACATTTCAACAAAACAAAACTATAGTCAAAATTTTATTACCTGTGTGGAATTAATTCCTTCCTTGGGATTCCCAGGACACTTTAGGCTGTAGCTCTGTAACCCAGAGAAAATGTAGGTGCAGCTACCCAGTGAATCAGGATGGTTGGGACAGTCCCTTTGATAAATCGGTCAGAGAAAAATGGCCTCTCAAGTGGAAAACTGATTCTGGTCTGCAGTGGCTATGTGCATGAGTCTTAAGAGAATGGATTCACTTCACACAGCCAACCCCCTGCAAAAGCATTTTATAGCAGGAATAAAATCTTTAGTCCTTTAAGTTTGATGAATACAGCAGTGAAGAAAAGAGATCATGTTTCCAAAGAGAGCTAAACCACATGTAAAAAAAACAAGGAGAATATGCCAGGCCGTCTTATGATCAGGTATTTATAGTAAAGCTATTAATGGAATGGTCACTACAGGGGAGTGGAGATCCTAAATATAAATGAAAATTCTGATGTGCTAATCTTTGACAGTGAAAACTTCCGTGCTCTCCTAAAGGATATAACAGAAGGTAAAAAGTCTTTGGTATGCAATCAAACCTATTCTATGCTAAAACAGAAATGTTCTTTTAAAACCATTGAGATATTGCCTAATAAAATACATTGTTTTTTACTACCACTATTACTGTTATATGTTGTATTATAAGAGTACATATAGTCCTATGTTTGTTTTTAGTATTTACTGTTATTTTTAGCATAAAGATGTTCCTTTGGGTGCATGCTACAATGGCTGAGAATTCCTAAGCCAAGTCTAAAATAAATCCTTATTTTCATAGTTAAAATGGCACTGACCTAAGTTTTATATGAAAGGTTGTTTTTCCTGAATAGGCTTTAAAAAGTAGCTACTCATGGAAACTTCAAATTTATGTTGAATTTGTGGCAGTTCAGAAAACTACTTTAAATTTATGGGGAAAAATTTTAATGAATATTTTTTCTAAATTTTGCATTTTCTTAATCCTATCAGTTTTGTAGTTCTCTGAATTTTGTTTGTAATTTTAAGTATTTGATTATCTTGTTTTCACAACTGGAAAAATATTTTTAATTCATTCTGACTTTAAATCTGTCAGCGTTCCACATGGATAGTTACACCAGTGATGAAGACACAGATGAGGACTTTGATACCCAGCTCATCATCCAGCAGAGCTTACAGGACACTCACCAGCTGAGGACTACACAGCAGGCATCTGCAGATGAGAGGTAACGGTATCCCATGGGCGATGCAGTGTGAATATTCAGCAGTGGAGACGGGTCATTAGCATGGTTCTGGTGTTGTGATAAAAACAGGAGAGAGGGTCAAAATCCAAGGAGCTGTCATTTAAATATCTATGAGACTTGATGTCTCACCAGCCAGACAGGGAAATTTGGAAATAATTCAGAGTATAATTAGGGAGTAAACGGTTGAAGGAGGTTAGCAGCAACTCTGGCTGAGAACTTGCAAGCTGGAAATGAGAAAAAATGCACAAGGATATGAAACACTAGAGAACCCTAATGTATCTTGTCTTTGGGGAGCCAAGGGGATGCATAAATCCAACCAATACACACAGAAAATTACCCTCAACCTCAGTGGGAAGATGGGGTAAGGTCCAGTCTTTATTCAAATCAAAAGGAGGAATTATGTAGACTTAAACCCAGAAGAGACTAACCCTTTCTGAAGGGTGTATATTCAGAGTTCTGTAATGCCAGCACTAGGAAAGGACCCCACATGTCCCTCTGTGCTGTGAAAAAGGATCGCGCTAGAGGAGGACCATCCACAGCCAGGCACAACTGCTCAGACGCTCTCTGGCTGATGTGCAGCCTCACCCCCAAGTAGTTACTATTGTTTTTGAGGGGTGATAAACCCTGTTTGCTTGGGATGGTGACCTCTCTTTGCCTGCTGGACGTAAAACTGGATAAATGTGTTTTAACTCCAAGAGATTTTATAATTAAATGTAGAGATGTTGAAGTACACTAAAACTGTTTTTTTTTAAAGTAACAAACTCATGGACTGATCACTTTGTGCCACACTATTTTAAGCATTTCACAAATATTGACTCATTTAAATTTGATTCTCGTTACCTATGTGGTTAAGTCCTTTTATCCCCACGTGGAGATGAGGAGACAGGTAAGTGTTACCCAGGGTCCCAGGGCTAGTGAGAGGCAGGCAGTCTGGCTTCAAAGTCTGTGCTCTTTACCACACTATACCTACGTTTGTGTTACATTTAGGAATAATCTTTAAAGTTTTGTGAAGAAATTGGGTTTCTTAGATTATCTGTTCTATTAACCTTGTGATGAAAAATTTTTAAGTTCATTCTGTAATTAAGTCATGATTTTAGGTTGAAAGGCATAAGACTTTGATGATTGAAATGTTTCAGAAAAATTAAAATTAACTGCAGGTATAAATGTCAGTCATTAGACTTGCAAGAGTTATATGGTACAGAGGAAGGCTTGCTGACTTGGTCAGGCACTTGAAGGCATTAGGAAACGTTACTTAAAACAGATGGAATAATGAATGCCCCCACCCCCACCCCAGAAAGAGAGACACAGGAGAGCAGTTTTCCTGGAGTGCGTTTCGGGTCACATTATACTGTGGAAATATTTCCATGAAGCCTCAGTAACTGCCTCATATAAGAGTTCATCCTTGGGTAATGTCAATTGCCTTTACCCTTTGTGTTTTTATCAAATGCCTTCATTTTTCCCTCAGTTTGGGGCTTACATGTATACTTGTTTTCTATGCAGCTTCCATTCCTTTTTGAGCTCGGACTACAAGAAGATAATTGAAACAATAGAGGCAGTTAAGTACTCTTCGTATTCTATCCCCTCCAGCTCCTGGTACAGTGTGATGTTGACACTGCGGCACTACCCGGCTAAGTTCGGGAAGCCCAGAAGCAGATTCTCCCAAATGCTCAACGCTGTGGGGCCCACCGCTAATTCTCCTGACCTGCGAGAAAGTACCACAGCACAACTTAGCAGCTGGGCTCCTGGGCAGACTGAGCTATGTGACAACCCAAGGGGGCAGCCACAGGCCCCGGGGGATAGGGAGCGCACGTGAAAGGTCTTACTGCTTCTCATCCCATGCCATTCTAACACGTCGCTCATAAAGCATGGGGCTAGAACTCTGTCATCTCGTGCACTAAGCTCGATGGTGGAATTCAGAAGCATGGGCTGCCTCGTGTGTGTGTGTGTGTGTGTGTGTGTGTTGTGTGTGTGTGTGTCTGTGTGTCCCAAATGTGAATCTGTTCCCATTTGACTTGTCAATAGGTAAGGAAGATGCATTGTCACACTTGACCAAGCACCATTCTGCTTTTGATGAAGCAGATGGGCTAGGCTGGCTTCCTCTGCATAAGGCTGCAGTGCAGTTAAATAAGAACATTTTGGAAATAACCCTGAAAGGTAAATTCCCTTTACAACTCTTCCTGATGCTTCTGAGAAATAAATGTAAAACTTATTTCTTTATCTTAACCTGTGTGGGCTAATGGATTTATTTCAGCTTCAAAACCCAGCATGTGGGAGCAAACCACGCACAATGGTGAAACGCCACTTTTTTTGGCTGTCAGCACTTGCCTCTTGGAAAATGCCCATTTTCTTCTTCTCAGTGGCTGCAATCCGAATGCCAAGAATTCTGAAGGCAATTCGCCTCTTCTTACAGGTAAACTGATACCTTGTCTCTGGAAAACAGTCTGTGATTCTGAGTGTCCTCCATGCCCACATGTTTCAAAGGCAACTTTTTTTTTTTTTAGTTTTTATTTTAATTCCAGTTAATATACAGTGCTATATTAGTTTCAGGTGAACAACATAGTGATTCAACACTTCCGTACATCACGTGGTGCTCATCAGGACAAGTGCACCCCTTCATCCCCATCCCCCATTTCACCCACCCCCCCCCGCCCTCTGGTAACCATCCGTGTGTTCTCTATAGTTAAGCGTCTGTTTCTTCGTTTGCCTCTTTCTCTCTCCTTTCCCTGTCTCCTTTGCTCATTTGTTTTGTTTCTGAAATTCCACGTAT